TACATAGAAAGCCTTTGATCACATTAGAATGTTACAAGAAGATTTTTTTCTTTCTTGGTATTCTAAAAAATCAGAAATAAAGCTTTCGTTTCTGTGGTTTTTGAATTTCATCATAGGAACCATATTTTAAATCAAATTACATTTTTAAACGGTAATAATCTCTCTGTAGATTTATTCCATGATTCTGGTACTCTTCCAATTACATTATCTGTGGTCCTAAAAAGTACCATTTATTCCGTTATTATAAAGGATAATAAAGATAAAGGGTCACCGCTAATCACATTCTTGATGAGAAATAAGTAAAGATGATAAGAGTACTGAAGAAAAGAACGAAGTTGGATTTCTCATCATTAACACTGATCAAACCATTTATTGTCGAATTTTTCTTCAAAACGAAGATTTATTTTCAACAGATTGAAGAAAAATATTTGTCTTACATCTTTTTCCAGAAAAAAATGCTTGATACATTCTCTTATTTGACTAAAATGGAGAAAAGTGTATATGACATATTCTTCCAATATCATAACATTAATCAATCGATATATTAATTGTTAATATCTGTCGTGTCAAATTTTCATCGCTTGAGTTCACTCCATCTATTCCTGTGTAATGATGTTGGTAATATTCAGTCTCATTTACAAGTCTTCTGACGCAAAGCAGCTCATATCTATCGAATTTAGCTGCAGATATATTATCAAATCATGTCATATGTAGATCGACAATCCTGTTATGAATGTTTCAATGAAAAGAAATGTACTACATAGAGTATTTATTGTGAAGTTCTTTCAATCGTATTCAAAAGTGAGCACCTTAATTTATCTTGCACTTTTTATCATGCAAAATCTTTGCATCTTAAATATTCGTTGTTGAAATTGATATTCATTACATGTAGAATCTCAGAAGCTGGAAGTGATTTAATTCAGTAATAAATATGGTACATCAGTTACGCTCATGTATTTCTGCAGTCGGAATCCAATCAGTTTCATTCACCTTTGTAACTTAAGTTTATTCAAGAAACAAAAACTATTGATATCAAATAAGAGAACTGATTAGAAATTCATGACGACTTGCGAGAGTAGATGTAAAGATTAACAATAGCGAAATTACATGCAAAGAAAACAACGAGAATCAATATTATATGCCATGATTTGATCATATAATATGTTTCTCTCTTTTACGATTTATCGATAATGTTCTCATTGGTCCATGGAGGTGGTACAAATCCTTTTACCATATTCCAAGTGATAGCTATAAAAAAAAGAATTAGATAATTATCAACAAATATAAGGTTATTTCTTAAGAAATTTAATCCATGCGATTTATTGTCATGAAACTATTATAGTAACAACCTTACAGTGGAATAGCGTCCATGTTTTCCTTTACGTTTACTATTGTCGTATGATTTTTATTTCGAACATCTTTACAAAATGGTTTTAATTAATTAAGTGCTTGAAAACGATTAATTTATTTTTAATTGAAAAGAACAATTGATGTAAATTGCTAATAAATTTATTGACAAGTCCAAAAAGAGCTAAACTTACATTTCCATGTCTCAGTAGAATATGTCGCATCTTGATATTCATCGATGAAAAGTTCCGAAGACGGCTCATCGATTGGATCATGGTACATTTCAAAGTAAGGATCATCTGTTCAAAAAAGATTCATTTGATATGCTACGCTTATTGATTTACGTATATTAACTTAGCAATTCTTCAGCAGTCGGACGCATGCAATGATTCAACAAAAGTAAACGATCAAGTAAGGTAACACCTATACATTAGTATATAAAGATTCTTTTCATAAGTTAAATGACAGTTTTACCTTGTGAAGAAACACCGGAAACTGGTGTTTCACTGCCTTGATTATACTTATAGCCAAATAGTTTTTCGTAATCTTGCTTTGATTTGCGAGATAATGTTTCACAGTATTGACGTACAACTAAAATAGATAATTTTCAATGACTGATTATCATTTTTATCAGCAATCGATAAAACTTCGAATTAGTGGTTGGACGAATACAAGTATAGCAAGTACAAGTAAAATACTAGGTACTTAAAAAATGTCCTCTGTAGTTTACTTAGATACTTTTTACTTGAGTACATTTTACTCAGTACGTGTACTAAGTATGATTGTACTCAAGTACAGTAAATTAAGTACAATATAGTACTTATAACTACGATGAGGCATAGCTGGGCATTTAACACATTAATATTGATATTTGAATGTATGACATACACCTAATATTAACAATTTAGTGACATCTATAACAAAATATATCTGAATGATGATTAATACGACAGTTCTACATCATTTATAATTATTAATTTTAATTATTGATTGTATTGTACCGTAATCATACGTGACAATGCTTAATACAGAGTAATCAAGAGGCTAAGGTCGTGAAACATTTATTCGGAAATAATAGATCAGCCTTTCATGCATTTTGAACCTTTTCATATCTTGACGACCAGCGCTCCACTACAACGTCAGGATAAAAATGGTCTGAAGTCTGATATTTTCGAAACTGTCCGTTATTTAACTAGCTCATCATATGACTTCCAAATAAGCCTTAAAACATTTATTGATGTATGAAAGATTTTAAGAAATAGATGCTATAAAATTGCATGGGTATGAATGATCAAAACGGAAAAACCAAGGGTCAAAAACAGTCAGCTTCGAATCCCGTAAACTCAAAATTGGAGCTGATTTTCGCGCATTACATATTTTGCCAACTAACATCAATCCATATTTTATATTATAAAGATACTTATAGATCCGCAAGGCCTACCATATAGAGTATCTAAAGGTCTCAAAAGCTCATCATATAAGACTGGCCAGAGCCCACCAAGACCCATAATACAAAGTTGCTTACAGGCCCTCAAAGCTATCATACAGGGTTGGCTTGAGTCAAAAACATGCACTTCAAACTTTGGAAACTCCGAATTTGAAGGTAGATTTTCCTTCAGTTCATACATTACCAATTAACATCAGACAATATTTTATACCATGAAGGTACCCATAGATCCTCATAGGCTATGATATAGGAGTGTTCATAAGCCCTGAAGGATATCATATGGAGATACACTAAGTGGGCACATTCTCATTTCTTGAATTCCTTGATCTCTTTGATCTCTATTCATTTCTCTGATTTCTAGTGATTTGTAGTAGAAATCCGGATTGATGGAAACAACATTATTTTTCATCATTATTACAAGGACAAAACATGGAGTTCTTCGTACCATATAAAGGAGCGTCTTAGAGGACTCTTAGATTGGCTCGAATCGCACCATATTTGATACTTAGTATAGAGAAGAGAAATCTTCTTGAAATCTGATTCGTTGTCGATAAAAGTTCTCGAGTAATCAGAATCTAGTAAGTCTTTCTCCACTGTACTAAGAACAAATTGAAATGTTTTTTGTAGCAATGTAGGGTTCTCTAAGATGCTCTTTCATATAGTCCGAAGAACTCCGTATTTTGTCCGCACAATAATAATGCTAATTAGCTGAATACTTAGGCTAATTAAGACTAATTACTTGAGTACTAGATGGTGAATTATCACTTATTTGTCAATCTCATTTTTTCTTGGTATCGTAATTGGTAAAAGATGGATTGGGTATTATGTGTAAACTGTGGATGCGAAAGTGAGCTTCAAATTTAGAGTTTACATGTGAAACTCACTATTTTTGACCAAAACCACTGGCTATTCAAAAGACATTAATTTATAGTCTGAATATTAAAATACTATGAAGGTTGTGTAGATATTTCTGAGAATATCAAATACTCATTCAGAAGAATATATTGACAACTCATTAAAGTACATTTTGTACTAAAATAGTAGTACTTCAGTAAATTAGCAATAAGTACCGGTGCTTAAGTAATCGAGATTATTGAGTAAAAGTACCAAAAGTACTAAGTATTTTACTCAGTATTCAATCACTGATTCGAATCAAGATAAAAGCTTTCTGGTTAGTATGAAAGCAGTTTCAGAAGATTATTTTATATCATTCGAACTTGTTTAGATTATACCTAAAGGCATATTCATCTCGTCTAACGTTTTTGAATCAGGTGTTCCAGTAATATCAAAAATTTTTGTTAATTGATCAGATTGACTTGTACCAGGAAAAAGTGGCTGTCGAACAATTAACTCAGCCATAATACAACCGACAGACCATATATCAACGTTTTCATTGCAACGCTCCGGATTGATGATCATTTCTGGTGCATACCACCGCCGATATATATCGCTCTCGTTGTATAGCCAGCTACAAAAAAAAGACAATATCTTTGATGCATTTGCATAGAATGAAAGACGAGATTTATCTGACTGTTCATCATATTTCCTACGAATATGGGCTGTAGCGGCAGAATTCCAACCAAAAATCTAGAATTAAAATATTCTACACTAATAGGAATGTCATTTTCTCTGTAAATATTCAAAATAATGTTTCGACATTATTACTTTTACAGTGCCCATTTCAATAGAGAAACTAGTCAATTGTTTTGAAACAAAATTGAGAATGTAAAAAATTGTCAAAAAAAGCCTTCTAATCATTCTCGTGCACTATAAAAACAATAATCAGATCTATTGATGGTAAAATGATATTATTACCAGTTCTTAGTTTATGTTAAAATGAGCATAAAGTTTGGCAAAATTTTCATTCACATAACAGATCAAAGATAGACAAATAAAAATCATCTAATTGAATATATACACAACTTACTGAGACATTTGAATCTTTGTCGATACCAATATTAGATGAGAATATTCTCTGCAATATATATATATATATATATATATATGCTTGTTATGCATTAAACTAATATGACAACTTACACTATGAATGATTCCAGCAGAATGAATGAACTAAAATAATATCAGCATGATATTTTATTTTTGTATCTGATACAAAGGTTTCATACTTTCAAACCACGAAGAAGACAATAGATGACCATTTTAATATGATCTTCAGTAACGACAACATTGCTGTAGATAACTCTTTTTAAATCATATTCGACATAGTTCTCTACTAAATATCTTAAAAAATAAAGTAACAACAAGTGCTTCTAAGAGAATACATCGATATGGCTTACATACAAGGTTTCAAAGTTGTTGAGGTCTTTCTCAGGTGTAAATACATCATATAATTGTGCAACCTACAATAATCAATAAAAATATTAATAACAATAAAATGTGCAAATATTCAAACAATTTACCTGTGCATCGAAATGATTGAGATGAATGCGTAGTTTCAATTCTCGATAGGTTCGATGTGCTCTTGCAACACTGTCGAATGGTTTCAATATCTTTCTAATGGTTACTTTTTTACCGGTATTCTAATAAAATATTGTCATCCTAAATGTATACAGATCAAACATACTTTATGCTTAATACGCACAGTGTCAGTAGCATATCTAGAATCAGTAACAAACAACACTCGATTATGATCAAATTTGCTTAAAAATGAACTTACGTAACAATGTCGTGACTATTATATTCGAAGGGACTGAGGTTTTGATAACGTTTAGGTACTGTAAATTGTGTGAGACTATGTTCCACAGTATGCCATTCTCTTTGATCGTCATTGTCTGCCATGCCTGTTACTATTTAATTAGAGAAGGAATACTGAAAATATGTGTAGTGATATAGATGACAAGTACGTCATAGTTGAAGAAAAGCAAAAAAAGAACGAAATATCCAATGTAAGGGAGTTACACTATTACACAACTATTGATGAAAATAATTGATAAAATCGTGAAAATCAGTGAGCAGATTTCTAAGAACATATCCTATAGGTTTACTCAACAAAAGATAACAACATACTTCAGTTTATATAATCCACAACGTAGATATTCTTCACTCGAGAAGAATTGGAGAAAAAAATTAATAATAAAAAAATAAAGAATAACATATTAACGAAGCAATTTATTGACTATACTGTGTTGCAACACATGTAGTTTCTTTCTTTTTCTCCCATTCTTTTCAAAACACAAAAAACGAGCGGAAGAACGAAAAAAAGAAGACGAGAAAGAAAAGCAAAAGTAAATATACCAATAAACCATATATCAGTATGAAAAATATTTCCTACATTTCAGTTTCAATCATAAAAGAAAGCGTTTGAGGATGGAACCTCGGATGACGAAAATGTAGATTTGAAGCGTCATATGTAGACGGAACATTGATATGAATTTGACTTATTTTGGCAGTTTGATCGGTAGGTTTTAAAAAATTTGGTTTGTAGATGTTTTCATTTTTTTCAAACATTGTAAGAAGTTATTTTATGATTTTTGTGTCGTTTGTAACAATAAAGTTATGAATTGGATGTAATTATCACAGTTATCAGTTCTAAATGTCCCTTCTACACTATGTATTGATCTAATATTTGTTGAATCAATATAGACACGACAACAAAATTTAGTCAAACATTCTTCTCTTATAATTAAATTACTGAAATAATAGTGACCCTTTATTTGTTGTCATCAGACATTTAATGTTTCAAGTTCTTTAGAAAAAACAGAGTGTTTGATATCTGTTGTAAAAAAGAGGATACAATCGATGAGTATTCCAACTCTTACGTGATGCTCTCCTCGAATGTCTAATTTAAAACCATCGATATGAATATTAGTGACAAGTTGAAAATCACATTGTGAGAGTGAGCAAAAGCTATCACAACATACTTTTGCTGCAAGGATTCTCGATTGCTTTGAAATGTGGTATCCACCAAAAATTCACCAAAAAGTATCTCATAAGACTTTACAGCAGAAACTGAACAAAGAAAGCTGAATTCATCGACTTTCTGTCAGAAAAATGACGAATTGTTCTTAAAAGACGGGTTTCTACCAAAACTCACTACGACATTGAAAAAAAATTGGCAGTAAGGAGACCATGTTTTCAAATTTTAGCGGGGTCGGAGGGGGAGGGGAAGCCATCTCCATCTCTCTACTCTAATCGAGGGTGTGGGTGTCAGTGTGGGTCTGAGTGTGGATATTTTATTCCTACTCACACCCACAACCACACGCATACCCCACATCCACACCCATCATTACAAAAATGTAATAAATAAAGGAATATATATGAATGGGATGTTGAGCAGAGTTGCATTGCAGAATTTTTAAAATTTGGAAACTATATCAATCACATACTCATTGGCAAACATCGATGTACAGTTGAAAAACTTTCATTGAAAGATACAGCTATGAAAATGTATCATTCAAAATCAGAAGAAGTCGAAAATTGACGATTAATATCTATTGATATGAAGTTAACGGAAGTAATCGATGATGAAACCAGTTCTCTTCCGTAAGGTTGGGCTTTGCCTATACGCAAACCGAACACAGATTTTTCAGATAAACAACGTGAATATCTTCAAAAGAAATTTGGTGAAGGTATTTCCGGTGTAAAACATTGGAAACCGAAAGAGGTGGTGTTAGATATGGAAAGCTTAAAAGAAAACGGCAAGTTTTATTTTTCGGCTAGCGAAATTTTAAATGACGATCAAGTTAGATCGTTTTTCTGCCGACTAAAACGTGAAGAACAGATGATTGCCACGCGAAATTCGTCAGCTGGTAAAGTTATCAACAAAGACAAACTTGTCAAATATCCTAGTCATGATAATGACAATGAAGAAATTGAAGCAGAGATAAAAGCATCAGAGCAAGACTTTCAAGATATTGAGATTGCTCTCCAAGAAATCAAAATACTAGAAATTTTTACTATAAATGCTAAAATAGAACTTGAATCATCTCTTTTGATGAATTTCTCAGATGTCACTTCCTCTACAACATTCAAGAAAAACAAATAAAACATAAAATGAACACGGGTATAAAGAATTAGATCTACATTATCATAAATAAACGGATACAGGTTTACCGAATTATACCTGCACGAACATAATGAATCGTCAGGGGTTTTCCGAATAATGCCATTGAATAATATTGTTTGTATGAGTACGAGTTTTCTAAGCAACACTCATAAACAATAAGAGGACATGGCTTTTTCGAGTATTGTCTGCCCTCTTCAACCAGGATGAGCTCTATGTGCCGAAAAGGAGAAACACGAAAAAGGTTTTCCTTAACTGTGGCCAACAATCCTACGTCTTGTATGAGGTAAGTAGGAAATATTTAAATAATACTTGAATTGCTAATAAAGGTTCAATGGATATTAACCGTGTTGTAAAGTATTTCCATCTCTTTTTGCATGACGAGATGTCTGCCTTAGATTAGCTAACCCATCTTACGTTCATAAATTACAACAAGTGTTAATTCATTACTCTATATAGACCATATATTCATTGAAACATATCGTACTTATATGAAAAATACTCCAAATACTTCATAACCTACTCAAACTTCTATTTTTCATCAAAAAATCATATTCATAATAATCTTTTCCTATAAATATGGTCTGGCTGGTCAACATTGTAAGCCATTTTTCGACACCATTAGACGCTTTTTTTAAAACTTTTTTTTACCATTTTGTAGAGGAAAAAAGTTATACAACATATGTGAAATTCAGTCTGAGGACCCATAGAATGGCTGAATAGTAGCGGATATACTGAAGATAGGTGACACATTTTTTACTCAAAAAATTGTCAATCTTAGACAGTATTTGAGAAATAACTCTCGATCAGCGCATTGAAATATAATTTGTAAATAGATAATTTTGTTCAGATTTCGATGCTCTATCTTTTGGTATATTACATGAAAAATTTCGTTTATTTGATGTCATCGAAAAAATCTCTACTTTATACGAACGATTTTTGATGATATATTTCAAATATCATATCGTGAGCGCTCGACAGTAAAATTGAGCTAATGTTTCACCAGCTCAACTAAATGCGCTAAAAAATTGGATTTAGAGGTTTTAGATGATGCTGACCAAGATGAGAATATCAAATGAAAAAACTAAATTTTGATGAGTGCTTCGATTTCTCGATTGTCACATGAGTGTTCTCTTAAATGTCTCTATATCACATTGTATCCCGCGAGATAGATTTATAAAATTATTCAATTCTTGTAAATAATAATAAACAAGTAACGCTCGTCTGTAGACTCGCTTAGCTCTTTCTCGTAGAAGTGCTGTTTCTAAACTGTTAACAAATTGCTAATTTACGAAGTTCCACGATTCAAAACCAGCACATTCACACAGCATTATTCTGCCCAACTGCGTCTATCTACACGTTTGAGTTTAGCATTCTGAGCAGAAAGTTGGGTTGATTTTTTTCCAACACTATGATGAGATTAGTAAATTTTATTATCCGCTACTCTTGCCACCTAAGTCTCATCATCGATGATAGATTTTGGCTTTTACCTCGAATATCTGTGGCCAACTTTTTTTTATAACAAAATAACCTTCCTAGATCGAGTTACGGGCCAAAAAAATCTGATTGGTTGAATTGCCTCCCCCCCCCCCCACTGAAATCCTATTGGTTGAAACCGCAGTGTCA